GCCGCCGCCGCTGCAAAAAAGTTGCCTTTTTATGTACACACACAAATATATATTTCTCTTTTGTGAGATATGCCATAGCTTGTGTATATATCCCCTCGACTTTGCCGAGGAGAGTTTCTCGTTGGCAGCTTCTTGTGTTCTCCCACTTTTCCGCATTGTCATGCAAAAGTCGTAATGAAATAACGGCACATGAGCCGTAGGTAGATATAGGTGTCCCCATCTGCCGATGTCTTAACCCGTGCCCCGTGCCCCTGCCACTTCTGCTGCTTGCCACCTTTCGATATCTGCGGTGGAACAGCTGCAACATGCGATTTTCTCTTCGCCTTAACCCACTGCTGGCCTGATTTATTCATGCGCATTTCTTGTGGGAACACCCAACCCATTCTGAGGAAATAAATATTATATGTAGAGATCTGCTAATTATACAGCAATGAATTTCTAAGATATATTGGAGGAAGTGCACATGACGGTAGTTCAACGATGAATTACGATTGAGAAAAATACTCTCAGTGGGAATTAATTTATTCGTCGGGGCTTTTCGTGGGTTAAGTGTGTCACTTAAATGTTGTCACGTTTCTCTTGCCACTCCTTTTTAACGTTTCTGGTTCGAGCCACTCGAGGCTTCTTCTTATACCTTTGTTCTTGGCCCAAGCAAGGAGCTTGCAACTTGGCCATCAATATTTCTCTGTACTCCTCTGCAGACATACGAAAAACCGGTTTGCCGCACCTTAACCCTCCGCTGGCCCCAGAAAACCCCATCCCGCCGCCTGTAAATTGCAATCTCCTTCCGTTTCGTTGACTTCTGCTGTCTCAGACTGGGCTTTTGCTTTTATTTGGGCTTTGCTTTTGCCTTTTGGTGGCCAGGATAAACGGGAGCGCCGTTTAAACAGATAACATTCATTGTAACAGAGGCGGACTCAACCCCTCCCCTTCCTTAACCCCTTCACACCTTAACCCCCTCTCAACTCTCGCCATCGGTCGGTTTGATTTTTTGCCCGCAGCTGTTTTTTCTCCTTTTTGTCTATCTGTGTGAGTCATAAGAAAATTATGTTGCATTTTATGGGCCAGGAGCAGGATCATTTGCAGTTTTTATCGACTCTGCTTTCGACCAAGAAGAAGTTGGCAAGAACCGAAGGAAAGGACAGAGAATCTAATGCAGGGAAAAGTGTTCTTGTGTGGATAGATATTTCTATGTTTTTGATTTTATACTCCTTAGTAAAATCCCTAAGGAGGATTTCTATTTTCCAAACCCAAAGCTATATACATTCGAGTTCTCAGAGAGTTTTTAAATAATATTCTAAACCGGACCAATTCTCAAGATATTTTTGACAGTGTAGGATCCACAAGACCAGCCAACATTCGGCTTAAGCATAAAGACATTAAAGACAATTCAGGGGGAGGGACTGGGAATAGGAGGCGTCGAGATTGCAACTTTGGTGCAGTGCCAGGACAACAACCCGATTCAAAGCTTTGCAGTCCTTCCCTTGGTCCTGGCTGTGTGATTTGCCATTGTTCTTGGCCTCGTCCACAGGCTGCAGGCAAAATAATAAGACATAATTCCTAAGCTTCTGTTGGTCCAGGGCCTCGTCCTGGCGCCCATCCTTTGGCATCTCCTCGCCGTGCTGTGTCCACATTATGCATAACTTTGCAGGACTCCCTGTGTATATTTATCCCAGTGGTTGCAATCAGGGCACTGCCAACCTTAAAGATACCCAGTCAACCACTCAAGAGGGAATTCAAGGAGTAGCAAAAAATAATTGAATAAAAGAAGAATGCGCAGAGTCTATATTAATATATTTCTGTTTAAAAAGGGCTTTAAAGAGAGAGATCAATTCGCCTTGTTCTTTAATAACACGTCTTTGTATCTTATTTCCAACAATAACACACCCTAACTAAAAGGCACAATGTTTCACCAACTTTTGTTTCCAATTAAAATCAAAAATCTATGCCAACACACATTGTAATCAAGTGCGTGAAAGAGACGGCCAGAGGAGCCGGAAGAGAGAGAAAAGAGACAGGGACAGCGTAGGTATTTCTTACATTTTATGGCCAAATTCAATGCTGGTAATTAACTCTGAAAATCCAATTATGGCAAACTTTCCCGAAGTCTGCGTAGCTCCGTGCATACTGCCCTCTCTGTCTTCTGCAACGCTGCCGTCTCTTTCTTGTGTGTCCTGACATGCGAGGCGAGGTGTCTGTGTAAGTGCGAAGTTGACTAGTTGTGATTGTGTGGGTGCATTTATAAGTGATATGCAGAACATGCAATTAACAAGGGCAGAATTCACTGCCGTAGACTCGGTCTTCTGGTCTTCTGGTTTGCACAGAAGAAAAAACTAATATGCTTGATAGTTTTGAAGATTTTTCGTAAGTTAGGCCACACTTACCCAAATCCTGCAAATTTACCAATCGATACTATACGAAAAAGAGTAAATTTGCTTGACCTGCGGATAGAACTAACATTTCGAACTATTTTTTCTGTGTAAGTTGTCAGCTGTTCGTTTTACGTTCTCTAAGTTTTCGAGTTTCCCCAGAGGGAGTCACAGCTTGGGGTTCCCCTTCCCCCCGCCGTCTCTGCCTTTTGCCGTCGTCATTGTGTCTGTTTTAATACGATTCCCACGTCATAATTGCATATTGTAGCTGCCACAACAGAAGCTCCACTGTACCAAAACGGTGTTGGGAGAATTCTCGGCCTGAAAGAACAACAATGCTCAACGCAAAGGCCGTTGACCAAATGTTCTAGAAAATTTTCCAGCTCTGGCCGTCCATGCAGAATCAAATTGCTTCCTTTGAACAAGACTGCATATTTCTCAGAAAATGTTTACAATTTTAGTCAGCTAAAAATGCAGGATAAACCCGATTTAGGTGGATTATTTCTAAAACAAATAGATTGCAAATGTTTATTCTTCTGAACATGTTCTTGAACTTTTTTGTGCAAAATAAAATCATGTTAGCTCACCTGAGCCTTGAGGTACTGTATTTTTCCAAGTTTAAGATACTTATAAAGATGCAATCAGATATTTCGCTCTGCTGACTCTCCAAACAATCTCCCAGTTAATGTTCAAATTTCATTAAATACATAAATAAAAGCTTGGATGCTTCCGATGCGACTGTCCTTTTGGCTCCATTAGCTCTTAGTTGAGATAAAAAAGTTAACTCCTGACCCTGCCTCGAGCGGAAATTGAATTTTTTAGCCTTTCGCTGAGCTGCCTTTGCACTGGTCGCTCCTTTTGCATATTATTTTTAATTTCCAGCAATTATAAGAAATTTTTCTTTCAGCTTTTCCTCCGTGCACCTTCTTTAACGATAATTTAATTAGTTGCAAGTTGCTGCCGTCGGTTGGTCGTTGCCTTTTTGCCATTTTGCGTTCGCCCCATTAATTGCACTTAACATTTCGTGAATTCTTAATGTCCGACAATAAAAGAGGCGAAATCGGAAACTTAAAGGAGCACAGACCTTTTGTTCGTCAGACATCTCGACTTATCAGCGATTTATAGAACATTTTTTTGTCAATCTCTGACACCTACTGTTAGCGAAGAATATTTACTCAGCTGGGCATATTTCATATATATTTAAATGTTGACCCAAAGGGTTCAGAAGGATAATTCAGAGGAACAGGACAACATCTGGCAATTTGCCTAAGTGCAGCGAGCTGAACTTCTTCGTCCTTTCCCTGTCGCTCTCTCTCTGTCTAAAGTTTTTAATTAGAAACGCATCCTGCGAAAATGGACAGCGCTAACCCTCTCCAGCCCCTGATTTCCCTGGCTTTTCTCCTGTTAAGCAGTCGAGTGAAATGAGCAAAGAAACGCGTTGACAACCAGGCCAAAAGCTCCACAAAAGTAACTTTAATGGCAGACAGAGACGGCCAGAATAAATGAATGAAATGGGCACAGCGCCCAGGACTTGGAAAAATAACAAAAATAACAAGAAACGAAACTTTTGACATAAATTCCCGTCCCAAAAAGATAGAAAACTCGGGCGCACAACAAGAAGTGAAGGCTCTCGGCCGAAAGAGATGCCACCTTGACGTGTGATGCCATTATCCGGCGGATTAGATACGGATATTTAAGGGCCTTCAGACGAGTGCCAAATTAATTTTAATGCGATTTTCATGGGCTGCATAACTTCGGGACTTTAACGACTATTGGCCCTAATGCAAATGCTGCGAAACAGACCGAAACAATCTTTAAATTTAGCACAGACTAACGAAGTCTGGGCCTGCAGCTCTAAAACAAAAATTTATTGCCTCTCGAACACTCTTTTTGCTCCTTTTTGCTTTTTTCTGGAGTGGCTTAAACGCCGCCTCATGCATATTTGATGCCAAATATAAAGCGGCTATAAATTCCACTCGAAATTTACGCACCAAAGTAAGAATAATGCGCCAAGGTCCCTCAAAAGAGAAAAAAGGGCAACGAAGCGAATCCTTGGGATACGCATGTGTTCAAGGTGCGCTTAAAGGTAGGCCATGTATCTCAAACTTTGTCGTCTAAGCATATGAAAAAGTTACTCGAAATTGTTTTAATTTTTTTCCGAGCTCTCCCTTTTTATTGTTCTCCTTCTTTCTTGACAAGTTTCGAGTTGAGTTGTTGAGGTATAATGCATTATTAAGAATTAAACAAAAATTGTTGTCCTTTGTTTTTCTTAAGGGCTCCTTTATTTTAAACCGATTTTTCTCTTTGTCTCAGAGAAGAAAGGCCGAACTCTGATGAAAATTTCATGAGCACTGAAAAGGTTCTTATGTTGTGGGTTTTTCGGAGATGTTGGGGGATTGAAGTGAAAAGTTATGATTCTATTCGGTTTAAGCTTTATGAAAATGTGATAAACTTGTTTCATGTGGTGGTCAAGAGTTTAAATTATTTATGGAAGGCAATTATTTTGGGGCTACAGAGAGAGATTGTCAACTTATGGAGGAATAGAAAAATGATTGTTTGTACTTCTTTTTACTTATGTATAATACAAGCACTTTATATAATATGTATTAACTCAATACATTATCTTTTCAGTTCTCGTAGCGCTGAGTTCCACGATTTCGGCCGACGAGTCCATCGACACCCGCGAGAATGCCGACCTAACCCTCAAGTGCCGGTTTAACGACAAGTACGAGTCGAACGACTTTTCGTTTTTCTGGACCCGCTGGACAGCGAATCCGGCCCAGTTCGATAACGTGGCCATCGGCGATGTACAATTGAGTTCCGGATATAGGTGAGTAATCTAAAGGACCCTTGAAGTAAGATCTAGATTTGCAGCAAATGTTTTCTGATACCTTATCAATGGTGGTGACCATCGATGCTCCCCAAATCCCAGTGAGTAATGGACATTGAATCGGGACCTAACAACGAGGATGATAATTGCGGGAATGGCTGGCTTTGAGGGATGTTAAATGCCGTCCATAAAGCTGATGTCCTTTATGGCTGCATGTGCGTGTGTGTGTCTGTGTGTGCGTGGGGTCGTAAAGTGAAATGGCGAGGGAAATTCCCACAGTCCTCTGTCCTCCTGTGGCATTAACGGTTATCCTTCCACCGACCGAGAAGTACAGTTTATCCCGGCAGCAGCAGTTGGCAGCCATTTGTTAAGTTAATTAAATGTTTCACACTCCCCCGTACCCGTCCGACCTGGATAATGCGATTTATGCATGTGACTGACTGGGCTGGCAACTTAATTAAAATCAAGTTCTTGGCAATTTAAACAAATGCCAGGCGGGTGAAACGGTTAAGTCCGAACCTGGCCACAGCCCTGGAATTGGATGGCATCGGCTTAAAGGGGCTTAAAAAATGTTTTTTTATGAAATGTATTTTAAAAGCCGAATGACAGAATGTAATAATGTTTCAACCCACCTTAAACGATATAAAAAATGCTTAAATATATTCCACACAAGACAGTATAATGAATAACAGGAGAAGGACAGACAACAAATTCTTTTTTGTATCTTTAATTAAATATTAGGTTTACGAATAATAGCGAACGCTAAGTTTTGCAGTGTTCCATGTTGCTCATGTACTGCTTAATCCTTAATGTCAACGCCGCGTGTTGCATGTTAAGACAATTATGACCACAGGCATACGAGTACACACACATGGCCGTCCGCCTATTGGTGTTTGTGTTTATGTTTCGCTTTCATTGCCCCCATTTCCACTACACCCCCTTCCTTCCACAACCCCTGATTTCAATTGTATTTTTATTCGCCTGGTGCCTGCGACTTCCGTTTCCTGTTGGCCGCCTGCTTTTTAATGTTCGGTTTGGTTTCTTTATGTGGCAACGCATAAATTTTAAGTGCCAACTGTGCCGCACGGACCACTTTCTTCTTCTTCGTCGTTTTACTCTTCTTCCGCGGAAAATGCAACCCTCCGTCCGTTCGATTCCGTGTCGTTGCGTTTCCGTTCCATTCCGTTTCGTTTCATTCTGTTGCCGAATAAAATGGCCGCAAGCCAACTTTTGTATAACGCCATATACGTTTTATGGATGCACTGGAAAAATTGTAGAATACCAGTAGCAAACATAAGCGTTAACAAAAATGTAATATATATAAAACCAGAAAGGTGTTGAGATACACCACTTGGAATCTTAAATATTTTAAAATGCACCCAACCTAAAACTGCAAAAATTTAAAGCAAACTCGATTTTTCCTCTGCATCTTCGAGCTTGAGTGTGAGCATAATAAAAGCAAATCAACAAATAGCAAAGCATCATAAAAAGGCGTTGTGGGCCACACGAAATCGCTGCGCGGACCCAGGCAAATTGTAAAATATATTTTTACTGCAATTTGTGCCGAAAGCTAACAAGGAGCCGAGAACAAGCAGGGAACGCCAACGAGGACAACGTCGAATAACGGGACGAGGAACAGCAGCCAGGACACGAGAACACGGCTCAAGGAGACTAAACGAAACTGGCCACATAATGAAGGCAGAGATAGTACCCAAACCCTAAGCCCCCGGAAAATTCCTATCTGTGCAAAAGTGAAATTACTGCAAATTTGCTGGCAATGCCAAACAACACACAAAACGAAAAAAAAGCGAAGAAAAAAAATATTACAGAATTGTTTCTCTGGGCCAAAATGTCGCGACAGGTCGAAGGGAAAAAGAAAAGCTCAGGGCTAATATTTCGCTGAACATTTAATTTAACGAGACATCAGGGGAATGCTCTTCTTTCAGAGATTGGGAAACAATGAGTGCGGCATTTAGAAGTCGGGAGTCGAAGGACCAACGATTCCTTCCAATGCGAAATTCAACTTGTGGGGGATTTTTGCGAAGAGGAAAATACGATTGCATACTTAGAAAGGAAATCTTGTGAGAAATCAGTTGGGGTATCTAGAATCTAAATAAATGGCTTGGCGTAAAGAGGATCCGTAAAATATGTTTTCGATTTTATGAATCAATTTACAAATTGGATACCACAATTTTGTGGATGTACAGATTAATGAGGTCTACTCGTAACAAGTTGATTCTTATGCTCGTGAAAATATTTTTGTATTTTTTCAGTTAAAAAATCAACTTTCTTAAAGCCCTCTTCAATCTAGGTTGCTCTTTCAATAACCTAAAGAAGTTTACTTCAGTTCTTTGAGCAGGCTTCCTTTATTCCCGCTTATCTGAATAATTGGCGGCCGTTTAAGTTTTCCCTCTGTCCCCACATAATAATAATAAAAAATAAAAACTTTTTGCACTTGCCCACAGGGAGGGACAAAAATTGAAAAAAAAAACATTAAGAATTGGGGACAGCACTGCGGTAGCAACAACAAATCACAAATTGCAATGCAGAAGGAAAATTTCCAGGAAAATGGGGTGGGTTATAAATAAAACCAGGACCTGCTCGGGGATAAACTTGAAAATTGCAACAAGAAAAGACTGCCTGGGGCCTTTTGCTTGTCCCCTTGGAGTCCCTTTTTTTGGTAACGCTCAAGGACGCGCGTCCTGCTCCATAATTTGTATTTGCCCGTTTAAAGCGCTTTTCACCGCCGATAGGAGGTGGAAAATCAAGGGGATTCCCCAGAGCGGCGGCAATGACGATGACTGCGCTTTGCCAGCAGTTTTTATAATTTGCACTTTTTTATTTCCACCGAGCAGCACGTGTCCTGAGGATTCTCTCTATCCCAACTGCAAATGAGCAAGTCGCCTGAGACCCGGCCCCAAAAAGCAGAGACATCAGTGGGGAGAAAGTGGAGAAAGGAGAAGCAGCAGCTGCAAATAGAAAATACTCGTAGTAATAAAAAAAACTCAACTAGGCAAGGACACGCGGTTTTTGGCCGGAAAGAGGAGATGAGCGGGCAAGTCTGTCGAGAATTCAGTCAATTTGCTGTCTGCTGCAGAGGGAGAAAATTGGGTTATGAAGTCTATTATAATAAGTGAAAGTTCGACATTATATTAAACACAAAATTAAAGTGTTGGAAGCAGTCTTCTTAATTTAATAATCAGCTTTGGTGAAACTTTTAAATGTAGAGTATAAAAATAATCTGATGAAGTTATCTTCTTAATTTTGTTGAGTACATTTTATGCACTGCTTGAATTCTCGTAACGTTTAGTCCCTCCGCTCCTCAGAATTTTGTCTGCGCATTCTATTTGGAGATTTCAAGAGCAGGCGACCAGTTTACTTTCAGTATTTTTTTCGTCCTGTTGCGGTTTGCTGCTTGGCAAATTAAAATTTCACACAAACGCGAGTTGTGCTCTCCTTTTTTTGGTCGTGGCACTGCGGTTTTTGGCAGCAATTAGGACACGAGTAAAATAAGTGAGTAAATAAAACGGGCGTCTGACCAAGCTAATCAGTCTAAGCCCTAAGTCTGTCCAATTAGAATCGCAAAATTGTCTAGACTGAAAGTGCACATAGCTGAAGTTCCGAAGATGTTTGTGAAAAGGCGAAGACGAAGTGCCATCCACCTCACTAAAATCTCGAGATGAGAACCAATTTCATCGTCAGTCAAAAGTCCACTTGCAGCTGGCAAATGAACTTGGGGAAGTCTCGAGAAATGGAAAATGAAAATCGTATCTGCGAGATTGGGGGATCCCCTTGTTTGCCAATCTAATAAACTGCCGACTGACCAGCAGGGAAAAGCCAAGAATCCAGCGAAGCGCATTCGGGCGGCATCAATTTTCAGTAGTTGTCCAGGACAACGACGATGACGACCAAATAATCATCAGGATCATCATCCTATTGAAAAATTGTGAAAAATCGCAGCGCTCAAAAAAAGTAAGAGGAGGACTCTGAAGTGGTCTTGAAATATTAAGACATTGACAAAATGAAGCCAAGAAAGCTGAAGGAGGGAAAATGAATGTCTGACAGAAGCCAAAAACAGAAAACTGGCAAACTTTCCCTTCTTCTTTCGTTTGATAGATGAAAGAGGAGCGAATTTTCAATACATTGAAAATCTGGATTGAAAAGTGGGCTTTAGAATTAAGAAAGGCTCCTGGAATGCTGGGATAATTTAATCAACAGACTGTGAAAAAAAACACACATTTAAAAAATTTGATTAAAACAGAAGCTTCCTTGGACGCAAAATGCCGTTTAGCAAAACCAATAACCTTAAATTGAAAATTTTTATTGAAATTGTCACACACGTGATATGGGAAAATAAATTCAATTTACTGCCTCTCTACTTTAAGTCAACCATATAGTATATCGCATGAGCTCGTGTTTCTGTTTCTTTATTATTTAAACTAAAAATCAAATTTTCCCCAGCTCTCTGCGAGTTTTTTTACGAAGTTGAAAGACATGCAGACAAAACACGAAGCGTTCTTCGGTTTTCCAATTATACAGTTTTGGAAATTAATTTGGTTTACGGGCCTGCAAAGCAATTACGCCATAAGAACCCCTCAGAGCTTAATAGTCCGGCATATAACAATAACAATAAGGTAAACATCGGGAAATTCCAAAAGCTGTGAGAAAATTACTTTACTTTTTTCTTGTTTACCTTTCACTTGGGTTGGCAAGCGTCTGAGACCCGAGTTCTTATTGGAAATTGTCTAGGAAAAATATGCAAACATTTATTCGAACGTTGATTTTATTTATGTTGGTCCTCCCCCTCCCGCCGCTCCGCAGGAATGTCTCGTCCTGTCGCCTCCTTCGTCAAATATTACCATTTCGTATTTATTTATATTACGAGCGTTTAAAGTTTGGCCACCTGCGGGCAGAAAGCAGGAAGCGAGTCGAGGACCAGAGTGGGAAAATCCAATATTAGCACAATTAGTGATGGCTACTTGAGAGGGGGAATGGCGCCCAGGAGTCCCCTGCAAGTTTTCAAATAAAAATAAATTGATTTTGGGCACTGAAAATGGGAATTGATTGACTGGATGTTGGCAGTTGAGCTTTGAAGTTTGAGTTCTTATACTTTATATTTAAATTGTTATTGATTTATTCATTTATATTTCAAAACGTTTGTAATTCCTTTTTTCTAGACTCGACTTCCAGCCGGAGCGCGGCATCTACGATCTGCAGATCAAGAACGTGTCCTACAATCGGGACAATGGCCGCTTCGAGTGCCGCATCAAGGCCAAGGGAACGGGCGCGGATGTCCACCAGGAGTTCCACAACCTCACGGTCCTCACCCCGCCCCATCCCCCCGTGATCTCGCCCGGAAACATTGCCGTGGCCACCGAAGACAAGCCCATGGAGCTCACCTGCAGCAGCATCGGCGGATCCCCCGATCCCACCATCACGTAAGTTTCCCTACCTATCAGATTCGATTTCGATTTCAAGTTGACTAACCATCCGTTCAGTTGGTATCGCGACGGTTCCAACTCCCCTCTGCCAGCGACCATTTTGAAGGGCGGCACCAAGGATCAGCCCACCAACGCCACACTATCCATTATCCCCCGAAGGGAGGACGATGGCGCCAAGTACCGATGCGTAGTCAGAAATCGTGCCATGAACGAGGGAAAGCGACTGGAGGCCACTGCCACCTTGAATGTGAACTGTAAGTAGTCGACTTCGAATGCTTTCCCTATGAAAACAGCAGATTACTCGCGGCATAACCCAGGCATCATTGGAAGTAGGGCTTGAATGAGTAATGCTTTTGCTCCACTTAGCGTCCCTCGTAAAGGCCGAGGGAAGAACCACATGAGGAGATGATCCGCCCACTCCAGTCCCCTGATAATCTTCGCTATTACTCACACCCGAGCCACTTGAGCATCATTAATAATTTCCACGCTCTGACATGGGAAGCAATTGCCATAAATTGCGACGCTTGACCATTGCTAATTAGAAACTTTGGGAGAGTCCCTGCCTTTTTTTTGCCGTTTTGCAAAGCGATTCCAGGCGGAGTCATCCGTCCGGCAAGTCGACCTTCTCTTAATTTGCATGCTATGCGGCAATTACAACACCATCTGAATATCTGAACATTAGCATAATGAAGGGGGGACAATGAACAGCCAGTCCCCGGCGTTTAACCCCTGTTTTCACAGCTCCCCGCGCAGTGCACATGACACATTTCGTTTAGAGTATTTAGATGCACCAGCAACACCAACTAGCCACTGGCAACTCACAACCAGCAACTAGCAACTAGCAACTGTAGCTGCCCGAACGGCAATCGCATAATCGCATATATCTTTTTTAAAAGCCAACAAAGCCCCGCACATAAATTACCAATGCTGACCTGAACCAACGACCTGCTGCTGACTGAACGCAAGTAATTAGAATACAAATTTATGTGCCACTCGTCGCAGTTGTTGTTTAATTGTTGTTGTTATTGCCGTTGTTGTTGCAACAAGTGGCCGTGTGTTGGTGAGTCGAGGCGAGTGTGTGTGCATGTGGCCGTTTGTGTGTGACCTGCTGGCTGTTAACGCTGGCTATTAGGGCTAATCAAAAGGCAAATAAAGTGAAATATTGCCCCGGTCGTCGTGGCGGAGCAATCGAGTGTTTGGGCCCAACACCTATGCACTTCGCGAAAAGATTTCATTGTTTATTTGCAGTTAGGGTTGAACAGAAGTGTATATTCCCATGCCAGTTATTTTACTAAAATTTACAATACCAATAATCTAAATTTTTCAGTGCATACTTGAGTTGTAGATGCTTTGCATGCATAGTTACAATAGAACATTTTTTCATCGAATTTTGTTTTCTCTGTAGCATGGATTTTATAGTCGAACCTATAGCCATGGCTATCAACTGTGTAATTAATTCAAAACAACACACACGCACGCAGAGGCGGCTGTAATGGCCTTAGAACCGGTGCTAGTGTTAGTGTAAGTGCTGGCATTAGTATTAGTGGTGGAAGGAAGAACGCAAGTGGGCAGAAGACTGCGCTAATTGGGAAGATAGAGAGAACGGAGAGGGAAATGATCAACTCCAGCGTTAAATAGGTAGAAGAAAGAATTCCAAGGCAAGAAGGGAATAAATTATAGAACCGCATTCCAAGCGGATTTAAGCAAAACACTGTTCATATTTACCCCACCTCAGTGAGCCAATAGTTGAGTATTGTAAACAACAACAGCGGCGGAAAATGCATTAAAGCCAACCGCCGACGTCGTCACACATGGCGTATGAGTAATGCCCACCTGACTGAATCAAAACAACTCCAACGCAGCGTGCTGTAAATTTATGTATACATATGCTACATATTGACCTACGCAACGCTAATTAACCGCCTCTTCAAACGGCCACGCCCACTTCGTATAGATTACATCCAATCGAGGTGAATTTATAAAAACAGAAAAAATTTATACACACGTAAAATATATAGGTCGCATGCGGTTTAATTAGTTGTCCTCAGGGCCACGCCCACAGCCGCCCACACTTGCGTGAACCGCATTGAATAAATGCCCAAAGATACACAGGCTCAAATTCATTATGTTTATCTAAAGTGTTTAGCCAGTTAGCAATAACAAAAGGTTTAATTACAAAAATATTAGAAAAAGTCAGCTGGACAAACCACAAAACCGCAAAGCAAATTTCGGGGGATTTGCAATCGTAAACGTTTATTAATTGCCAGCGTTTAGATTTATTGGATCGAGAAGGGGCAGTTTGGAAAGTTTTTAAATAAATTTAGGAACGACAGGAACCGCAGTAATTGCAGGAAAAGCAGGGAACAAAAAAGGTTAACGGACAGAACAAACAGTTTGAGACCGTAAGGGATATGTGAACTCTGATTGTGGCTGAGGATTTTCCACTTGCGGTCACCTCCGGTTTCCACTGGGTTTTCCTTTGCCATTTTACCCACTTTCGCCTCAGTAATGCGTTTTTAAGCAAGCAGAACAGGACCCGGAGTAGATCAAACAGGGAAATGATGTCCTGTCTGTGTCCTGTCCCCTTTTCCTGTTGCCAGCCTTCAGGCACTTTGCGGTTGCTGCGGGCCAGAAATCCACATGGAGAAGTACGGAGAAAAAATGGGCACTAAGGAACCCGAGACAAAGAATCTGTACAGAAAGAAAATAACACTAAAATGTTTTACCATTTGGGGATTTTTTATTAATTTTCAACGGATCAAATTGAAGAATAAACCATCGAATTCAAGTCAAACTTTTACCTTCAACTTTTCGGTAATTAAATACGTTTCAAGTTAACTCTTTTTTTCTGTGCAGTAAATGCAAACCCATCAGTCAGCTTAACCCTTACTGAATTCGTTTGTTTAGCCCACAGTCTGGACTCTAAAATTAAATCAAAAGCAATTTAATTGAAATCAAGCAAGGAAAAGGCAGGAGACAAGCGTGGCTGTTATCCTTTCTCACTGTGATTTACGTTGGGCAATAAAAATTCACTTTTCTCCGGCTCTCTTTCTGTGGCCCATTGACACCTACAAATTAATCAGAAAATGAGCCACGTTCTTGGCCTAATCTCCGGTAATAACTCATTGCCAAATGGCCGGCAATAAATCGCGGGGAAAGCAGTGGAAATTGTCGCGCTAATAACCGCAAAATGACAAAATTGCCACGAAAAATCAGCGACGGCAATAATTTCAAATTTCAGAGGCCCCGGGATAGAATGGAAGCGCAAAAGTCAAGTTTAATCTGGCCGGGCTCTAATGTATTGCCTCTGGCCCGAAGGGTCCTTTTCTATTCCTGATGAAGCCAATCGGATCTGAAGAGCGAGGAAATCGTGAGGGGGCCCGACTTCCCTTCCCACCTTCCACCTGCGAAAAGTAGGCAAGCAACAGACAGCTGCTTTACAGGGATATTCGGGATGGGCTTTTGTTTTTGATTCTAAGCTGACAAGGCAGGGGGTAAATCTTGCACGGGCTTTATTGTTTTTTCTTTCGCCCTTTCTCGCTGTCAAATCTCTGTCCCCGGCTCGAAAACCGCTTAAGTTTGGCGGCTTAGCGCCTGCAAAAAACACTGAAATCCGGAAATAGGGAGTCATCTTCGTAGAAAGGGGCCAATGGCTTGGAAAAGGGAAGCCTATTAGGAGTGCAAGCCTAATGGAATCTTCCTTCTAAAGCCAAAGAAGAGTTTAAAGTTTTGAGGGTACACTATTAATTCTCCTCTACTGTTTATTTTTAAATGCAATTTCCCTTCAGCGTTTAACGTAACTTGAGTCGCCTTTTGAAAAATCATAATTAAGAGATACTTACTGCAAGGCATGCAACCTCGGGAAACTCAATTTTCCCAACTCCTTTCCCAGGGGTCCATCATTTTCCATAGTTTAATGTCAGGCAATTAACTTTTGTCTGGCCCCCCGAGAAGAGGCAGACAGCTCAAAAAATGGGAAGTGGAAAAGACTGCCAGGGAGCAGGTTGCGGAGAGGGAAAGCTCGGGGGGAGTGGGAAAGATGGGGAGCAGCGGGGTTCAAAGGGGAGTAGGCCTGTCACATGACCTGCCAGTCAGCGATGAGATCATGCATAAAAAAGCCAAAGGAAAAGCCGGGAGGAACTCCAAACCGAGCCAAACCGAACCGAACGAAAAACCAAAGGGAACCGAACCGAAGCACGTCCTCAAATGGGAATGGAAATGGCAATGGAAATGTTAAATGTAAATGCGGCATATGGAAAAACGGGAAACGACCTTGCTCTGTGTTTGGGCCTTAACACCCCGAGTGGGCGGCAAGTGGGTTGGGTTGGGAGCAGATTGGTAGATTGTCACAGGCAAATAGGCGGGACAACATGAAAATCAACCAAGCAAATGCCAATACACATGCAACACCGGAAAGAAGCTGGCGCTCACTGAGAAAAATGTTTACTGACGTGCCAAGAACAACAAATTTAATTGTACCTTGGAATATTTTTATTTGCAAGTGCAGTAATGAACTTTTTGCAGAGTGTGACTGCTAAATGTGTAGATGCAAAGGGGCTCGAACTCAGTTTAGGAAAAACATTTTGTTTGTGTGTAAAAATAGAAATGGTCGAGGATGTTGCGGCTGTGGCATTCAAGGATTCGAGGCTTAACATGGCGTAAACACAAAAGCCTCTAAAGGCATCAACTGCGGCATATAAAGTGGCATTACATTAGAGTACGACCAGAAAAAGCGAAAAAAACATACACAGAAAATAAACGCAAACATGTCCTTTGGCAGGAAGTGCCGCAAAGACAAAAAGAGATTGTCGAGTGGCATCGTCGACGCATTAAATTGAAGATGATGATGATAATGCGCCAGATAAGTCTGAGTCTGGAGGATCTGAAGTAAGGGGTCTGGGGTCTGAAGTCTGGGATCTGAGGTCCGTGGGGTCATAGGTAACAGCCAACTTAACGTCAATAAACGGGAGTCGGGGGCGGAAAGGTCGGTCTTCAGTCCGCAACAAGCCATGAAAAGGAGGAGGAAAACTGGGAAAACAGCCACCGGATAACATCTGCCATTTGCGGCCAGGACGAAAGATGAAACAATGCGGCAGGAAAGTGGGGGATAACGAGAGGACATGTGGATGCCGGGTACTATTTACTTGGCATTAAGCAAACTTCAAATAAAAAGGATAACGAGCGCATTGCGAGACACGCAGGCAACTCAAAATGCCACTGGAACTGGCTCAACAACAGTATCGCAAAAAAAAAG